GGAAAGAAGGCAAGGCTCTGGTATGCTGTCAGGACAGGACAGAGCATCCTGTAACACTGAAGCAGCGACAGCCTGGATTTCATTTTCCTGCTGAAGAGGCATGTGGGCAGAGGAGGACATGTGCTACGATGACAATGGGAAATTCCAGCATGGCCTTGGCACAACCGTGCTCAACAGATTTACCCTCTTAAGGCCAGCCAAAAGCGCTGAAGAGGGTTGCTGTCTGACCAGCAGCAAATTCAGAGATTTATGATCCAGAAGACAACACTCCTGGGGCTGTGGTTGGAGCAGGCTCTCACCCAGCATTATCGATACGCTGCTGGGCTCGAGGGACGTGGCAGCTCCACGCAGGAAAAGCCACCACTTCAGTTTGCTGCCCACCCCGCTGAAGAAGTTTCCTCAGGAGTACCTGGTGTGGAGGTTTACCCTGTTCCCAAGTGGTTCTCTTGAGCAACTATCTGCCTACAAAACCAGGACCGATCCCATCTGCATCATAATTTTAAAATGATTGTGAAATTAAATTTTACTGCTGACGTATTAAAAGAAAATCCATTATTGCAGTTTAGACAGTCTTAGCTTGCATGGGATGATGCTGTTTATACTGTGGTAGAATGGACAGAGAGCCACCAGTTCAGGCTCCTTGTATTTTGCAGCAGATGAACCGGGATCACTCAGCAGTAAAATACAGCACAGACAGACGAGAACCTGGCAGAGAAAGCTTTCAGGTAGGAAAATGCTGTGAGAGTTGGTATCTGTATAAAAATAGGGATTCTCCCCAATAAAACTGGCTGAACACAAGCAAACTTTTTTTTTTTTTTTTTTCCAAACAAAAAACTCAAAAGGCAATTTTTTGTTTTGGTTTGGTTTTAATCCTCTGAGAATTTTTTCATCTTTTCAGTAAAATAATTCAAGGGAATAGCTTCATTTAAGGTTTCATTACCAGCAACCAAAACAACAATATTTTTCATGGATAAACATGAAATTTCAAAGAATCCCACTACCTTTGCAGAGAATTGGCTTCCATCAAAAAATGAGCTTTTGTCAAAATCTCCCTTCCATGAAATCAAGACAAACGGATCATTTGAGCGGGATTGGATTTTAGCTGAATTCCAGTTTGCTTTGAGGAACATGCCCTCCTGTGGGTATCTGTTACAGCTGCAGCAAATGTGCCTCTTTGCGAGCAGGCTTAGTTTCTTCTCTTTCTTTACCAACAGCTTTCTTAAATAAGGCTGCTTCCCCCAGACCCACCTCGGCACTGGACGGGCTGAGAGGGACGAGATCTGGCTTAAACAACAGGTTGCAAGAAACAAGGAAAAATTAATTTCAGCGATCAACTTGACATGAGAAGTGTCAGACAGGTCCCAAGTTAAAAATAACAGCCCTGCGATTACTCCCTGGGTTCCCAGGAGGGAATTGGCTAACTTCCAAGGTTTGTAGAACTTTATCAAAGGTGCTGGGCATTATCAGGAATTTCGGGATAGTGCTGGCAGGGTACAACAAGATAGGCAATCTTTGCTTTGGGTTTCATACCATCATTGACACTTTGGAAAGAAGAGGAGCACATCCAAATGTGTTTTACATTTCTTCTGCAGAGGTCTAGATGCTGTGCAGTTCAGAATCGTGCCCTAAAAACTGAATATGTTGCAGGTGGTACAAAACTGGGAAGGACTGCAGGCACTTCTGAAGGATTTCATTAAGCTCTTAGTAAATCCGAGGGATGACTCAAAATAAGCATGATGCAATACAATATGGCCAAATGCAAAGTATGGTGCTTAAGCAGGAATAAGTGACCACAGTATTGCAGGATCAAAAGTAACTATTTATGTAGTGTTTCTGTAGGACAGGCCTGGATTTTTCTTACAAAACCAGAGGGTTGTTTAATTTAGAAAACGAGATTGCAGGAAGAAATGAGAACAATCTTCAAACACACCAGAAGGAGATATTAAGAAAAAGATATTAATTTGGTCTCCACTTCCCATGGTAAAGGTGGATATCTATGTGCATTAGATGACTTCTCAAAAATTATTCCATCTCTGTTTTCTGTTTTGCTTCTTATTAAGCAGTGACACCCTCACCTAAAAGTTGATATTTCTAAATATCCTTGGCTTAAGGGTCTACAACCCATTAAGAGAACATCTTACTTTTCTTTGAAGCTTTTCAAAATCTCACCTGGCACGTCCTTGGTACTCAGGCACAAAACTCTCTGAATTTTTCCAGTATAACTCTCATAGTAACCTACTGAAAGCAGGTATAGTAACCCCAAATCTGCAGACAGACCAAATGCTAACCAGCAAGTCCAGTCTCTTCAGTCTATATTGCTTCGCTCAGTCACTTTCTCTCCGTCTCTCCCTTTTCCAGTAACTCTTTTCCTGATATGTTAGGTAAGAAAACTAATAATCCTGCGGCATTTGGAGCTGGCTGTGTTATTGGAGTCTCCATGGGTACAAATTCCACACACTTCCTTGGCTTAGGCTGGGACATACTTTTCAGAAAACGTTACAGAAAAAATACATCATAAAAGCTTTTTTATTGCATGTCAATAAGGTGATCCTTGAAATCTTGAAATGTCTGACAGGGATTTTTCAAAGCAATTGAAAAGTGTATGTGGTGATTCTGCTGGGTTTAAGTGGGTAAAATAAAAACAACAAAACCCCCACAAACAAAAGTATTTCGTAAAGCTTTATAAAAAATGGTGCTTTCCTTGGCAGTACCTGCCTTCAAAAACCATAGAGAAGAACTGAGGCCGACCTAGAGCTCATGTTGGTTTTCATTACGCAGCCCTTACTGCCAGAGTTAAAATAAACAAGAGAGGATGTGGGGAGCAGAGCATCTCCCTCTCCTGTGATTAAAGCAAGTGTCTTAGCCACCTCAGATCTATCCATCATTTCAAACTTAAGAAAAATGGCCAGGATATGGGCCTGGGTCAGGCCAGCTCTGAAGAAGCAAGGTTGATGTGTGTTAGTGGGAGATGTAATTACCTGCAGTAAGAGGAAGGACACATCCTCACTTGTTTTTAAAGCTCTCCCTCCATTCCAAAGGAGCAAAACTGTATTTAATCTTAACCACAAAGCCATGCTGGGCTCACCATCCTCATAATACTATCAAGACTCTTTGGTTGCAAAGATAAACCTCTTAGAATTTGAACAATGGAACCATCTTAATTATCAGATATGTTTGTATTTGTCACCTATTACGAATGCAAGGTGAAAAAGAGAAAAATCACAATAATAGAAGTCTTTCCTTCACTGTCTCTCTCCCAGGGACAGACACAAAACTCAGCTTGCATTAAATACCAGAAAACAAGAGAATTTGGGAATTCTTTGCAAAAAGATTGGGACAAGATGGCTCAGCACTCACTAGGGTTCTTGGAACTACTTAATATTAATTTCCAAGAGAGTTGCTTTAACTACCTGGAAAGGTTTGTACACGCTGATTTATTTTTATAGGAATCTGTATCCAGAGGAGCATCCCAGCTCTGCAGGGGCAGAATTTGTGATGCCCACTACAAAAAGCCTGTTTTTCCCCCAAAAATGAAGGAATAAAAGCCATCCTTATGGATAGATGTTGCTCTGTAGGCATTCAGGACACCCGCCGCTGCCTTGCTGGTGAGGCCAGGCACTCATGTCCAGACTGGAAATGTGAGCCTGACGCTACAAATCCCGTCCTTCACACAGCCCAATCTTTCGAGTCTCTCCTGGTCACTCAGGGGAGGGATTTTGAGGAAACTCCACCTGAAATCTGCGGAATTTCCAGCCTGAACCATTTCCAGGAGGGCAGAGGATGTCCGTGCTGGATAACACCGATTCTCACCGCAGGCGTAGCGGGGATGTTCATTTAAGGGGAGAAAGCACAGAGCCAAAGTAGCCGCTGCTTTTGCAATTCTCCGCGTCCAGAGACTATAGTTTAGGCTTTATTTTCTCTCCACCACCACCATAAAAACATCAGTTACATCTTTCCACCCATAAGCAGGTGCTGTGTGGGTTTTCCCGGGTGCAGTATCCCGAAGCCTTCTCACGCTGCACATGTGCAGAGGTAGGTATCTGCTGGATGACCGGATTCTGCACGTTTTCCGGCCGAGCGCGGGTGCTGGGAGCCGTTCCCGGGTTGCCGGCAGTTGGCAGATGTCTCCTCCGGACTCGCTGCGGCTCCGCACGGAGCTCACCCAAAACCGCGTTGGCTGCCGCGGCCGTTCGGGGATCGAGCCGGGCGCTTCGTGGCCCTTCGCCCGTTCTTTAAAACCTTCGACGGATGCTCCATCAAGAAGCACTTGCTGGTAGTTGGATAATTTCACGTCATGGGGCACCGATGCTGTTTCAGTCCTTATCCATCGCAGCCCCTAACCGAGCTCCATCTGCTGCTGGTGCCCCACAGCCCCTGCTAAAATTTGCACCCAGCCAGGACCCCAGGCCCCTGTTTCTCCATCAGCTCCCATATATTAACCCCCCACCACCCCCCACCCCCCCCCCGCCTTTGTTGGCTGTGACTTCACAGCCGGTCGCTATGGAAACGGTTTGATATTGTGGGGAACTGGGAGCTCAGGGAGGGAGAAACCAGCTGCAACTGGGAGAAACCCCCCAGCCCGCCCGTGTGCCGGCCGGATTTGTGCCGTCGCCCGGGAGTCAACGGGAACTTTTTAATATTTAATAGAGGAAAAAAAAAAAAAACTTTTTTTTTTTTTTTTTTCACCAGAGCGCGGGGTTCACAGGGCCGGCGCTCTCCGCCCCTCCGCGCCCCGTGCCACGCCCCCCCGCCCCGCCCCGCGCTGGGCCGCCAAAGCGCGCGCCAACTCTCCGCCCCGCCCCCTTCCCCCGCCGCCATTGGTCCACCCCCGCCTCCTCCCGCCCCTCCGCCGACAGACAGCCGCGCGCACCAACCGCCGGCGGCACCGTGCGGTGGAGGAGCGGGAGGGGCACGCCCCTCCCCTCTCCCTTCCCTCCCCAATCCCCTTTCCCGCGGCGGGGTGGGCGGGGCCGGGCGGTGACGTGAGGGGAGAGGGTAGCAACAGTTGCCTCGAGACCCGGCGCCAGGCGCCATAGTGACCGTAGCCCTGGAGACTGTTACTTGCCAACGGGAGCAACGCGCGGCCCCGGCGGCCGGAGCCCAGCGCAGCCCGCGGCGCCCGGCGGGGAGGGCAGGTGAGCGGGGGGGGGGGGAGGCGGACGGACGGACGGACGGACGGACACACAGACACACACCCCCCGCTGAGCGGGCCCGCGCCGGGATGGGTGGGACGCGTACACACACACGCGGGGGTCGCTGAGGCAGCCGATGAGGGGACCCCCCCCCCCCACACACACACACACCCCCCTCACAGTCCCGGCTCTCCGGAGCGGCCGCCGGCTTCGCGCCTCGGAACGTTCCCCCCCCACCCCACGCCCCGGGGTCCCGCCCGGGGCTCCCCGCGGTGCCGCCCCCGGGAAGTTGGGAGCGGCGGCGCGGCCGGGCGGAGCGGGGGAGGCGGCACCTCCTCCCTTCCCCCGCCCGGCGGCACCGCCCGCAGCCCGGCGGGGCCCCCGCTCCGCGCCCTGCCCGGGAACCCGCGGCCCAAACCCGCCTCTCGCCTTCGGCGTGGCGGGGCCGGGGGTGGGGGGGGGGGGGGTTGGACACGACGACACACACGGACACACACACAGCATCCCTCCCGCGGTACCGAACTTCTCCCCGGCTCCTTTTTTTTCCTCCAACTCCGAGCATCAGGTTCGGTTGGGAACAAACCGCGGCTGCTCCAGACCCCGGCGGGCTCCGTGTCCCCCCCCCCCCCCCCCCGCCCCGCGGCGTTGTGAGCTTGCCAGTGCTGGTGAGAGTTGGGAAGAGGGGACAGAGGCCAGCCCGCCCCTCTGCCGCCGTGTTGAGAAGCTTGCACACCTCTTGTGTTGTCTCCGTTTCCCCCCGGGCACTTTTCCTAGTGTTACTAGGGTTGATTTCAATTCCAGTTTATCTCTTTCGTTTGCCAGAGCTCTGAAATCCCAGCACTGGCTTTCTTGTCGGTCTTAGAAACGAGCGAAAATTGCAGTAGGACCTATTTTTAAGCATCTGCCGTCTATTCTTGACTTGGTTTCTCCTGTTTGTTTTGAATAAAGTATGTTGTAAAACAAGACTCATCTCCCGTTAAAGCAGGATTTTGTGTATGTATGTGCCTATTTCAAGCGTGAGTTCCTGCAGTGTGATTAAATCTTTCCATTCTTTTTACTTAGATGCTGCTCTAAATTGGTTTTGCTATTGAAAGAAGCAAAGCTTACTAATTAAAGAGCAAAGTGGAATAAATAATAATTTTATTAAATCTATTTTATGTTTCCTTGCATGGAATAGCCTTAAACTGACCACACTCAGCTTCAGATTCATTTGTTAGTCAACGCTTTTTTTCATCTGCTTCTGCCCAAACTTTTCAACTCACCATCTTGGTTACAAATCATTTGAGAATAGAGAGTAATTGCTGGCTGACAAAAAGAAGAAAAATCAGTCTTAATACTATAAATCTTAAGCTCCCAAAGACTGGGTCTCCTTCTTTGCTTCTGCTGTTTGACTATTCTGTGTGAGTTTGCTTCCGTCAGTTTAAGATTAATTTGGTCTTGCTTCAGGTTTTCTTTTAAAGTTACCCATCCAGTGAAAGGCTGTCTATGGAAGGGGAAGCATCCTGGAAGGCTGTCTCATGGTTACCTATTTCAGGAGGGGTTGAATCAGCCTCTGAAGGTATCTTTGTTGAGGGAGTCCAGGATAAGCAAAGTTTGGCTTCTAGATAGCTGAAGTCAGATGCAGAAAAACCCACACTTGTAGGACCAAATTGTGGGTATCGGATATCTGACATCGGAACTGAGATGTGGCAGCTCTGACACTGATGCTCGTTTCATTTTGAAAATCTTACTTTGTATTTTAAAAAACCAACGCATCCAACTGGTTCTTTACCTTTCAATATTGCTGTCCCATGGGATGTGAAATTTATTTGAATTTTGTGAGATGTTCTGCATTTGCCCTTCAGTGTATATGGATGTAGGCATGCTCTGCTTTTCTTTTTTTTTTGCTTTAAGCCTTTTAGAGTTCATGTTCTCAAAGCTGTTCCTGTACCAGTGAGGTTTGGAAATACTCGTCTTTTTAAACAGAATCTGGGTTCTCAGGTAATTAGAGGATCTTGGCCTTAAGGGTGGAAGCACACACAAATGCAAGCGAGGGGTTGACAACCGGAATTTCTTTGTCCCTGTTTGCTTTTTGCAAAACAGGAATGATCCCAGTGCATTCGTGGCTAAGAGCATCCGCTGTCACAGAGGAATGGAAGAGCCAGGTCGGTCAGACTTCACATGGGGCTCCCACAGGCAGTCCCTGCTTTGCATTTCCCTGCTGTGCCATTTGCATCTCATGAATTCCGCTCATAGTACCGTGTCCCTCTCCTGGGGCCCTGCGTGCCAGCTCTGGTGGCTGTGGAAGGGTCCGAGCGAGTGTCAAATCCCAGCGCTGTGCTACAGCAACCGGAGGGGGTGTAAGGCGTGCAGGCAACTCGCTGGGTGCCGTGACCATGGCCCAGCGCTGCAAATTCCCCCTCAGCATCGGAGCTGCCCTTTCAGAGAGGGTGTTTTGTAGGTTTGGCATAGAAATTTGTGGGTTTGGCATGTAAATGGAGGCCCATCTTCATCAAGGGACTTGGCACCACGTGTCCTGTTGAGTCCTGGCTGGGAGGGAGGGAAGGGGTCGCCCATCTCAAGACTTAAGGCTGAGCACAGTTCAGAGAGGGTAGCTGTTAAACCCTGTGTTATATACGTGAAGGCACATTAGAAATACGCTTTCTGTATATTTTTCCATGTGTAAATCTGAAATGGTGATTTAAGGCCATAATTGTGGAAGTCACAAGCAGTCAGTGCCACGGATGTCGTGTGTCCTGGGTATCTGTTGGGGTAAATTCTCCAGCTGAGAGTATTCATTGCCACTAAAAGTCACCTCTGTACTTGTTACCCTCTGTCACAAAACGTCTTCAGGGCTGCCATAAATGTAAAGCCTCAGTCAGTGGTTAATAACTGTAGCTTTTCCTAGCTCGATCGCAGTAAAATAGATGGCGCCAGTCATTGTCTTTAAATAGTCTCATGCTTGTAACACCTCAGAGCATTGACAGCTGTTATGTTTAATCACAACATGTTTTCGCTTTTAATACAGGCCTGTAAACATAGCCGTTTTAATGTATTCTAGCATATTTTCCTTGTTCAGTTTTAGTACTCCAGAGCTAAAAGCGTCCTGCGGCGTGCAGAGTCACAGCGCAGGGAGGGCAGTGCTGATTCAACAGGCGTATCTTACCCCTCAGCTTCTCGGCCAAAGTTTCTGCTGGAGGCTGCTGAGTTATATTTAAACCAAGTTTTCCCCTCTTTCCGTCCCTCAAAACAAATGCCAGCGCCGTCAAGGGCTGGGCGCCCGCCAGCTGGAGCGAAGCGCTGCCCGGCCAGCGCTTGCCGTGGGTGCTGCGGAGAGGAGCCCTCGCCTCCCCCCGTGTCACTGCATGCAGCTCCGTGATCCCGGATTATGTTTCTGATATTTGAACCATATGCAAGGTTTCCTTCTGTAATCTGCGTTTTGAGACTCTGTATTTTGTCTTATTGGGACTGGCAGTTCTTTATTCCTGTGTTCAAACATTCACAAATCCACCTTATTGTCTAAGAATGTGCTGGCTTTCTCACGTTAGGCTGTTTCTGTCTAAACAGCATATGAACTAATTATGCCATAAATACATAAACAGACAACAAAACATTTCTTCAGCGCATGCCATGTACCCATTAACATGATGAACAAAGAGGAATTTTTTCATACAGGGCACTACCTACAGCAAATCACCCTTCTTAACACCAAAAGCACAGAGGCAATTATTGCAGTGCCCATCAGTACACAAAATGTTTCCAGTTAGGGGGAAAGGGAAAATAAAGGAACCACCACTTTCAGTTTTGGGTCATGTTTTTATGAAAGATGGCTATGTTTACATCTCACCCAGCTAAAACAGAAGGACTAGAAAAGTTTAAATTTGTGTAATTAAGCTGACTTGCTAAAACAATATTTAGTGATGTGTAGACGTGTGATTTCATGTCAATGAATGCAGAAATCTTCTGATCATATTCTTTCTTACGACACTCAGGGGGGTTAAGCAGCATCTATCCAGCATTAAATTTACAAGGAGTATTTTAAATTGCAACAGAAGCAAAAGCCCTCTCAAACAGAACTTTATAAACTGTTTTGTTTTGTTGCTCTGGAATGACACAGGAGTTAAGAGCTGTAGAAATGCCAAATGAAGGCAACTGATAAGCTTGCTTTTTTTTCCCTAAATTAGATTTCTATTAAGAATTTCTGAGCTTCATAAATACTGAAGGAGTCTCAGCATAGTACAAATGTGTCGTAGTGGTGAAGCTCTGAGAGATTAACAATTGAACATGGCAGTTGCTTTCAAAGAAACAGGGGTCACAATGCTGTGCCAATGATGACTTTATATAAACCAAATGCAAAAAAACCCAACCAACCAAACCACAGATTCTTTGTTTTCCTGTCACAAATCAAGCCTCTGCTGAAGGAAGTCCTCCATGTCTCTAGCAAGAAGCTGACGGAAGTAATAATTACATTGACTGCAGCAATATTCCTTGCTGATGCATCATGTAATTAATTGATGCATATTATGACCGTCCAGTCTCCACGAATCATTTTCTTCTGTTTGAGGTGGTTCTCTGGCTTTATGTGCAGGAATGTCTGAATGTGTCTGAGGACAAGCGACAGCAGGTACCTGCATGTAGGCTGTGATGAAGCCCAGCAGTTTGAGACACGTCCCTGTCTTTTGTGGCAGGGTGACTTCATGCTCAGACTTCTTCAGGGCATCTCCAGCTTTCACAAAGTTTCTAGTCCTTACAAAGAGAATGCAGAACACAACCAGAAACAAAGTGAAAGCAGGAGGCAAGACAGCTTCTGCGGATGCCACCGTGTCCAAGATGTGTGTAGCAGCATCTCTCCAGAGAGGTCAGGAGCAGCTTTTTGGGAGTTGTCCTGCTGCCCCTCTCGGGGCAGCCCAGGCGGAGCTGGCAGAAGCACTTTTCTGTTGCTTGCTGCATCGATGCCATGAATTTTGCTACCGTCCGTAGTGCCGAAGGGGTGTGTGTTTCTCTTCTGCGCCCTTGCCAGCTGA